TTATCAACACTCGTGCATGTAATGGAAAGGATGAGGAGAAGGAAGTGGTGGTGATGAAGGAGGCTTTACACTTCCGCTATGATGAAAAAAAATAAAGACAAATTGAAGTATTTTTCAGTAACATTCAGTAGAAGATTGAACAGACCACTTTAGATAGTAATATATGTAGTTGTGGCGTTGCATAGTAGGTGGTTGTACGCCGCCATCAACACAGCTTAGGTCAGTACGGAGACGGGCTGCTTCAACTAAGCCTGCCACGACAACACGACAACCCAGGCTGAGAGCGATAGATACATCCCATCAGACAGACGACGATACTTGATACAAATCTTCCCAACACGGGAATCAAACCCACGTCTTCTGTGTATTTGTTTTAGTAGAGGTTTTACGGCGCTCGCAACTGCCAAGGTCAGATGAGCGCCAAGGGGTGGATCTCAACAGAGAAGTCTTTACAGGGAATCAGTCTTACTTTGCTCACCTCTCTAGCTTCAACAGCACAAAGTCTGCTTCGACTATCAAGGCACCCCGGAAATAGCGGGTCACAAGAGTGTGACAAACATACAAAAGAAGTACCAGTAGAGGAAAATGACGATAGTTAGGATTGGGAAAGAAAAGGCAGCAGTTCCCTCTTGCAGTTCAGGCAGTTATGAGCATAACATTGTTGAACAGCCCATTTACAATTACAATTCTACTGTGCATAAGAACATGGTTTATGTTCCCCCTTCGGGAATGGCCTAAAGACACTTCAGTCAGTAGCACCGCACCCCAAAGCCTCCGACGTCACCAACCAACCCGGGCTGAGAGTTGAGAGGGATAGGTACTTCTGTGTGTGACAGCCAGGAGCTTAACTATTCCACCAAAGACTCCATCGCCATCTGATGTAAGAGGAAGATAAGGAGACAGATGCCAGTACTTCTGTGGACAGGATATGATGGTTTTGGGAGTACAGAAATGAAGCGGAAAATCTGGCACCCTTGCAGGAAAGAACAGAAGAACTTTCAACCAGGCACAGGCACAATCAGTAGAAAGACCCTCAGCGGCATTTCGTAGAGAGCAACGGAGCATCAATGGACGTGCCCGCAATACAAGGATGTTGCTCCCTAAAACAATGAACAATCAAAGACTCCAGAACATCAGGAAAACCATCAGCAACCCTCGTGAATACCTTTACTTTTTCATCCTCTGGTGCCGTGAGCGTCGAGAGGAGATGCAGTTTTCTAATGAAAGGCCAGTCCGCAGCTCTTTCAGTTGTAACAGCAACACGAGCCCAAAAATAACAAAACACGTGAAAAAATGAAAAACTTTCACATCGGTCGTGATTTATAGTACATGTATTTATTACAGAAAAAAAACATAAGGGTAAAACATTTTCCATTCATTTCCTTTGCTGGACTGCTTGTCAAGGACAGTCAGGTCTTTCGTCAAACAAACATCTGCATGATATCATCAGGATATAAAAAAAAACAAAGACAAAACAAAACCCCAAAAAACAAACAAACCCCAGAAACAAGTAAGAAGAGCCAGCAGACAGCGTTCTTCCACTTTCACATGCACACACAACTCTGATGTTGTCCTACGTCACCCAATGCCGGTTTCTCATTCAAACTTGGACATTCCCCTCCACCCACCTCCACAAAGTGGTACATGTACGAAAAAAAAAAGAAAGAAAAAACCCCCCAAAACCCACAAACTCACAAACAAAAACAAAACAACCCTGATCATCACAATAATTTGTTCTTAAAACTCGGGAGTGTTTCTTGTGTGCAGCTCAAAGACATGTTTGTTGGTGGTCCAGACTGGCGTGTCTACAACAACAACAGTGATGATGTCATCTACCCCTTTAGAGGTTTTACGGCGCTCGCAACTGCATAAGGTCATATGAGCGCCAGAAGATTAGAGGTGTTACAAGAGAGTAACAAACATAAAAAAGAAGAAGGGGAGATAAGGACGATAGATGTTTCATAGGAAAGAAGAAGCAAACCACACCAGAGCACCCACCAACCACCCTCCATCTACCCCTGATGGGAGAAAACAATACGTTTGTTAACTAGACATTTCCATCATGTTATCAACATAGTATCTCAGACCCTTTCTATCATAAAAAGCCCAGAATAGATCTATAGCTACATAAACTAAGACAAAATTGCCTTGACCCAATCCGAGTTGAAATCTATTCGCTGGACATTTAAATTTAACTCTCTAAACACTGAATAACGCCAAGTCCAAACTCTGTCAATGTTTACATTTATGACACTCGTTTACAATGACAACCTAAGGAAACATCTGTCAACTTCAATATGCTCTCATTGTTATAATTTTCAACCAGATCGGTACCAAATAGACATTACATTTTTTTTAAACTCAATAGACTGAGACAGCAGGAAACTCAATTTCTAAAAAAAAAACCAAAAACCCAGCAACATGTCAGCAACATCAAGTTTGAACAGGCCACATTTAGATAACATTCTCCAGAAACAACATCAGTCGAGTGCCTAAGGTAATTTTTAGACAAGGTGAAAAGGAATAGAAAGTACCTTTTGTTTTAAGTGTGGGGAAAATTATAACGCTATTCTTACTGAATACTGGTACATTCCATTTTTTTAAAAATGAGCAACGATATGGTGGAATCAGGCGTTCATCAATTTTGGATAGAATCTATATGAAATTATTGGTATCAGTTTAAAGATTGTTCATTTGCCTTACTTTTGGATTTTAAAAAATTCCCAACAATTTTCA